CTGACTAATTATATGCCAAATAACAAAATAGAGATGCACTGGAGAATCATCGAGAAATCCAACGTGGACTGTAACTTCATATTCTAGCTACAAGAACTGCTGGTAGCCTAGCAACAAGCAGCATACTTCAGCATGCTAAAACCTCCCTCTGACTTAATGAAACACCTCAGATTACTATGCAAACCTCCCCCACCCCACTACGCATTCGATTCTTGCATTACTAAATGATAAAAACAAACTCTAGCCAAAAAAAAAAAAGAAAAAATAAAAATCAAGAAATTCAAGACAAACTCAAAGAAGCACTAATGAACCACGGTATAGAAAGGTAAGTGAATATAAAACACATGAATTATTTTCATAGACTTAAAATTCATATTCTGGTTGGAGATGATTCATTAAATTTATCCATGGCATCAGAAGATGCCTTATTATTTTAAGCACCTTTTCTAGTAGACTGAGAAATATTTCTGTTCATTTGCATCTTGGGAACCATTAGTTAAGAAATCTTTAACAATTTACAGCATACTCGCTAATCTCCAAATTACTGCTGATATACAAACAATGCTGTTGCAATTACTTTCTTTTACGTGAATCTTCAGTGAGCTGGTAAACTGTTATCCCAAACAGTAGCCTCAGAGCTGAGACACCAGTTTTAGCCATCATTCTTTGACCAGTTCTTTTGCTGTATTTCACCATTTCAGAAGCCACAGTTGCTTTCCCACCTGTCCAGTACTGACAACCACTTTCAAGTCTTGTTGTAATTAGCACAACTCCAGTGCTCTGGGGCCAGGGCTCAGTTATGAGTGACACTTCAGCCAACAGCTTGCTCTTGGGTTACCCACCTGAGCTACCCACCAGAGAAGTATAGGTTCATCATATTCACCCGTAAGACCACATAAAAAAAAGGTTATATTTGATTTTAGCCAGTGAGCTGGGAAGTCATGTAGCTTCAGCTAACCTTTCCATTTCAGAGGCATGAATTAACCCTAAACATCAGAAGGCCTTTCCCCAACAGGTGAAGCACGTTACTTTTCATCTGGGTCCATTCCGCAGCCAGTACACACTACTTCTGCAGTGCCTTTCACACCAACAAGGACTTACAGACTGCAGTCTGCACAAACATTTGCCAGTCTGCCTCCCAAAACATCTGGGACACTCATGCAGTCTGCACAGAGCTAGAAATAGTACAATAGCAACAGAGAGGGACTAACATGAGCTTTTAAGACAAGGTACAACTCTGCGATATTGCCTGAAGTCATCTGATCCAGGCCATATAACATGAAGGTTAAAGCATTAGTGTTGTGTTTGCCTGGTGGAGTTACACTTTAAAAGGAGTGGTATTAACGATAACAGATAGACATCCTTATAATTAATACCATACTCTGCCAGACTGTCATGGTTTAACCCCAGCTGCCGTCTAAGCCCCACACAGCCGTTCGCTCACTCCCCCTCCACGAGATGGGGGAGAGAATCAGAAGAGTAAAAGTGAGAAAACTCATGGGTTGAGATAAAGACAGTGTAATAGGTGAAGCAAAAGCTATGCATGCAAGCAAAGCAAAACAAAGGATTCATTCACTCCTTCCCATGGGCAGGCAGGTGCTCAGCCATGCCCAGGACAGCCGGGCTCCATCATGCCTAACAGTGACTTCAGAAGATGAATGTCATCACTCCAAACGTCTCCTCCTTCTTCCCCAGCTTTATATGCTGAGTATGACATTGTATGGTACGGAATATCCCTTAGGTCAGTTGGGATCAGCTGCCCCAGCTGTGTCCCCTCCCAACTTCTTGTGCACGCCCAGCCTCCTCATTGGTGGGGCAGTGTGAGGAGCAGAAAAGGCCTTGACTCTGTGTAAGCACTGCTCAGCAATAACTAAATCATCCCTGTATTATCAACAGTTTTCAGCAGAAATCCAAAACATGGCCTCATACTAGCCACTGTGAAGAAAATTAACTCTATCCCAGTCAAAACCAGGACACACACTCAAAGGATTAACAAGACCAAGAGACCTATTTCCTGTGAAAGGCAAATCTTTTGGGTGTGTGATATTTATCACCATCTTCCCTGGTGACTCTGACAACTGCTACAAGTGTCACCTTTGTTCAAAAGCTGCAAGAGGCATCACGGACACAAGAAACACGATAAATTTAGCTTGTCTTTAGGCCATAATAAACTCGTGACCATGGGTGAAGATAAGCCCCTTCCACTAGTTTACACAATCTCAAAAAGATAAACTAAGTTGCACAGAGCTGTTGACACTTTAGATATGGTGAGCACGCATGATGTGTTTGTGCTGTGCCCACAGTGTGAGGAAGCAGCAACGAACCAGCCTATAGCCCTATGGGAACCTGAACCCTCTCCTCAAACACACGCAAAAAAGATATTAATAACTAATGTTCTCATTATTAGCTTCACAAATGAGAACTACTTTTAAATTAACTCATGCAACTACAGACTTTTTTTTTATTGTTAGGGAAGATGAAAAGGTTCTGGCAGAGCAATGGGAATTCCTAACCTTTCCACGCCTTGCTCTTTGACCCCTTAACACTCTTCCACTCTCCCCAGTTCCCTTTCCCCCCCGGCTACTTTTTGGTCTCAATGGCCACACAGGAGATTCAGCAGGGGGCAGGGGGAAATGCTCACACACACTCTCCAGGGATTGCATCCAGCTGCAGCATGAGCAAGGACCACTAGCCGTCAGCAGACATGGTTAAACAGGGTGAGGAAGACAGGAGTACTGTGTCTGGAAGCACAAAAACCCTGTCAGTAGAGTCAAGGACATGAGACAGGGTGTGTAAAGATCTCAGGCACTGTATGTTCAAGAAAGTTAAATCTTCAAATTGATCAAACTAGTGAGAGGAAGGGGCATTAAAAGAAAAAATAATTCTCCATGAAGCCTAGAACTAGGAGATCCAATACACATAGATGCTTTACTTGCATTTACGTGGGGGAAAAAAAAAAAAAAGTGTTCCTATGGAATCCTTCCTTGGCAATTTTACAATACATGGTTTGCTTTCTTGGAAGGAAATGCCACTACAAATTGTCTGCCCAGAAGAGGTCATCCCCATTGTCCCATCTTCCTTCTTTTGACGTCTTCCATGGTGCCAGCAGCCTTGAAGCACATGACAGCATGTGCTAGGATGTTCAGTCTAGAAACCAGAACCACCTCTCAAAAGCCAAGGATTAGCGAGTGATGCCTCTGGTACTGTTCTGGGATGTGTAGATGCTAAAATGATTGCACAGCTAAAACTCGCATTGCAAATAAATGAACTCTAGTTTCTTGCTCTTCACTGAAGTTTATTCTTACATTTATCTCACCTATTTCATACTAAATACTCTTCTAACTAGTTGTGATATACCTGATTCTCTACTATGATCGCCTTCATTTGGATTAGAAAAACCCTCTGTAAATTTAGCTTAAGTTTGGCTCAGGGCACATCAAACTCCAAAATCTTTCCCCCTCCCCCTAGAAAATAAACCCAACAGAAATCTCACCCACAGTCATCATCCCACCACAGCATTTGTTTCAAAAGACCATGAAGCAATACATCTCATCACAGAGCACAACTCTGCCTCCTCAAACTCCAGACAACAGCAGTGTACATCACAAAATGATACATGACAAAATGATGCATCACATTAACTTTTTCTTTTTTGAAAGCCCATTCTATTCCATTACTAGCAAAACAAAAATTCTACCTTAGCCTAGCCAAGTGGAAAACAGAAAAGTTGCGTCATCAGTAAACTTGTTTCAGTTTCAGTTGGGATTTCAGAACACACACATGGAGATTATAAACATTCAGGTATTCTCTGAGGGATTAAATATTTACACACAACCTTTTTAAAAAAAAGTACAGGGACATTTGTTTCTCAGCTGCACTTTTTTGCCCCTGTAAGCCTCATTGACCTCTACAACCAATATTTTCCCACATTATGCAAAAGCATAGTTTTAACCCATTCCATAACAGAGGAACCTGTACTAGGTCTTCATCATTCCCAAACATACGAGCGAATATTACGTCACATTTCTGAATAATCCAAAATATAACTTCAGAATTTTCAAATAAGTAAATTTTATTATTTCCTGCAGGGATAGCAATTACCATATTTTAAAATGGGTATGGCAAGAAGAAAGATGCCTAGAAGTAAAAAACATATTTTTTCCAATTTAAAAGAGTAGAGACCTTTCTGCTCTCTTGGCTTCTGAAAAGCATGGTGGGAAAGACTGGGAACATCACCTCTCCTGCTCTTGGCCTTGCTTGAAAAGAAGCTGCAACACTGAACCCATGTTCTTCGTCTCTGATCTATTAGGCCGTTGGCAGAAAGATGAATTCCCTCACCCAGAATTCTCCCAAAATTCTACGCCTAAAAAATGAGTGATACTTAGTAAAAATACTTTCTAGCTCATAGGCTTATCTATAAGAAAATCAGTAATAAACACATGTTTTTAAAGTAAGAAAAATACTAGTTTCAGACAAGACAGACAGAATTAAGGCTCTGATAAGGGTCTTTGACCAACAGTCATAAACATACAAAGTACACAAACTTTGGAACTGCAAAATACAATCCCTAAACAGTATGAGTTTTCAATAGAACACTACCACATGAACATGCACACTTTCTGTGCTATTTTAGGGCAATAAGCTGAAAAGGCTTCTCAACTTACTATTTCATTTACCTTATGAACAATTTAAACAAAGATGCACATGGACTTGAGAATAGAAGATGCATTTCCCTAATGAAACTCAATAGGAAAAGAAGGACAGCTCTAACAACACCTCCTGTTCTTGAAACTTATGCTTCATCCTCCTTCTGATAATCTACTCTGTCTTCCTAGTAGTAACTAAACATCAATTTTATTTGCTCCAAAAGCTATGTGTATATTTCTGATCACTCATACGTGTTTTCCTTAACAGAATGCTTGCTCTGTGTCCATTTGAATGACACAGCAATTGAAAATTGCTAAAAATACCAAAAAGAGAATACAAGTACTTCTACTCACCACTTGAACTCTGGATCATGTTTCCAGATTTTTGGACCTCATCAAATTTTGTAAAAATTACATTCAACCTGTTTGAAAGAAAGAAATACACAAGGAACGGGTGAATTTAATTTTTAGGCATCTTCTAATTTAAGATGTTATAGAACAAATTTTGCATCACTCGGGTCATCGGGAACACTGTCAAAAGTGTCAGTGTAGAGGGAAGTTATTTTAAAATAAGTTAAAAAAAATAATTACAACATGCAGCAGCTGATAAGAAAAACTGAGGAACAACTGATATTACAGAGGTGTAAGAGAGATAAATGGAAATACTACATTACTGAACATGTGACATATCTAATTGTAGAAACATTTCCAGTTCACTGCCACTTTGCCTAACTTAACTATTTGCATAAATGCCACAGAAAACACCCCTAAAAAACAACTTCACACAACATTTTTCTTCGGCCCTGACACTTCCTTCCCACTCATGTCACACGCCTGGTGGAGCAGAAGATCCTTACCACATCTCCTTATTCATTCCGTGAGAGTTTATTACTTTAAACCACACTGTAGTAGCAGATGTTTTCACTGGAGAACAAGAGGCAACAGTACTGCCTCTCCCCACATGCACCCCAGCTCTGAAACCACTCCTTCCCTCCCCGCTCTGGGCACCAACACGCTGCCATCTCCTCCAGCCGCAGGGCCAGCCGCGCTCCACCCTGCGTGCTGCAGGCTGCAGCCAGATGCAGAGCAGCTTTCTTACAGCACCTGAAGTGGCAGAAACAGAGGGACAGGGATTTTGTTTTGGTGTGAGTTGTTGGTTCTTTGTTTGGTTGGGTTTTTTAAACAAAGCCTTGGAAATTATGATATTGACCGTGGTGGGTTTTTTTCTTCATGACAACCTTCTAAGTTGCATAAACCCAGGCTACTCTGAAATGTCCTCTCTACGCATGAAGAACATACAGGGAAAATACCACATTAAATCTTAAATCAGTTAACTACACATCTGTCAATTTTATTGGTTTTCCAAAGTTGCTGTACCTGGGCAAAGGTACAGAATCCATGTTACATGAAACCTGAGCAAGTGTTTGTATGATGAAATAAACCAAACCCTGATCCCAGGAAGAGGTTCAATCATACAGCTCCTAAAGCCTTCTAAAGGAGGGAAGAGAATAAAAAGCAGCCCCGAAATAGTGAATACATAAGGACATCCTCAACTTACCGCGATTGGGGTAATCCTTTTTTACTGAGATCAGCCCTTACACGTTCACCAACATGTCTGTAAATTTCCACAAGGCTGTTTATTGCTGCATCTCGAACCTGAGTGAGATATGAGAGAAATCAATCATCTTTATAATTTAAGTAAATCCCTGCCTTACGTTGGAGAAAGAAATTTTCATATTTCTCGGCAACAACGGTTGCCCCTATACACATTACCACAATGTTCATAAAGGAGCTGCCATCCTTGCATTTCAGGTATTAGCAGTATCAGCAGATCTAGTTTAATTGAAAAGGCAGTCAAGATGTAAGATGAAAGGTTTCATACATAGGGACACACACAGGGAGCTCAGCTGCCTTTGCCGAACTCCACCCATTGCGTGCAACAGGTAAATTGTGAAAATATGGAGGGAAGAATAATCAATCACCTGAATCACCATGAATCTTGCATGGTTTTCAAACTGATTTGCAAGAAACTGCTGAGCACATCCTTCCCTCCACTCAACAGAAGAGCCACAAATCTGACTGAAGTGTCACCTTTCTGTACTGAACCTCCTACCTACCTTCTCTGCCTGCTGTGTCTGAGGGAAACGATCTGCTTTGCCTACAGAAACACCTAGGGAGCCATGAACTTCTGCTTCTCAGAAGATGGCCTGGCAGCTACCCAAGCATCTGCACACATCAGGACTAGGCACAGGATATTTTGCAGGTACAAGCTAGAAACGCCTGTAGGTGGGAGTCAAAGGGCAGGCCCCATTTTCTAGCCAAAAAAACCCTGAACATTTGCCTCTCACTCATCTTGCCCCGTTCTCCTGTTCTGCAGCATTCAGCGGGTCGCTGCCAGTTTCCAAACCCCTGCCTTCACCCACGCCAGACCTTACTCAGCTGTCTCACCTCTCATCTCTCTGCCCATCAGCCCCGTATGCCCCCTGGCAGGACTCCAGGGCACAGCTCAGGAGGGACTCTGCTGTCCCCAGCTTCTGGGTACACCGACCCTAACCCAGCCTCACTCTCTGCCTCCGCCAGCCAGGGAGGAAAGCTGCCTGCATCTCACACGCCTGCAGCAAGCCTGCCCCCCTCCCCGGTGCCCAGGCCCACACACCAGCCACAGGGGCACAGCAGCCAGGGCACACCAACAAGCTCTGCCCTGCCCCCCCACCCTGCCACCCTGCCCCCCGGCCCGCCAGGGAGCAACTCACCCCGTGATCTGGAAGGACTGTCTGCATGGGTCAACTGAATCAAAGGTACGGTTGCAGGACTGGGTAAACCTCATATTAGGTAAGGCAGGGAGCCCCAACTATCACACTTGCTTTAGTCTACCACAGCAATAATAAAGCTTTAATGCTCGATTTTGTTTTTGAGAAATTAGTCATAGTTTAAATACAGTTGTCATACCAGATGCTCACGGCATCACACAAGCTCTTAAACCACATTAGTTTAGAACAACAAAAGCTAAAACCCACCCATTCTCAGAAGGGTAGTAACAAAACAGCTTTCATGCCCACAACAAAAGGGTGAAGCCACTGCACTTGACCTGGATCTCTGTTTCTCCATCATCTCTCGCCATGAGAGGGCAGCATTGACCGAGCATCGGGTCTCCCGGAGCTCAGAAAGCTCTGGCCACGCAGGAGCAGCCCCAGGGGAGCCCAGGACCAGCCCCTGCCCCAGGACAGGCACCGTTCAACCAGGAGCCACTTTCACAGTGATTTGTATCTGATGAGTTCAGGCATGGGCTTTCTGGGGACGAGACACCAGATGCAGCATGAGGGACAAGAGATTAACCTAATTTCCGACCACAGCTGAGGACTGGGATAATAAGCTGTGCCAGGCACAGGGAAGAGGCAGGGCAGGGGGAAAGCATGTCTCAGTCCCCTCACCAACTCTGATTCTTCCAACAGCTCACCAGTGGCAGGACCAAGGTGTCGGTGCAATGAGTCAAAGTCCTAAACCCAGTGTCCCTCCAAGAGAAACAGCTTGCTCAGTACTACAAAGGACGCTGAACATGAAATTTCCCTCAAAATTTCCTGAGGTAACAGGTTTATCCTCCTGCGTTGGCACAACCGGCAACGAAAGGCTGCTTCACACTCAGACCTCCTCTTCAGCAAGGGGAGGCCCTGACAGCCATGGGAATATGCCCAGCTCCAGATTCAGTGTAAACCCATTCCCCCCATTGGCCACCTCATGCCTCCTTCCAGCAAAACACCCACTCCAGACCTGGATCACATACGTGTCACCCATGGTGAGAGGGTAACCAGGACATTCAAAAGCTGACAGTACATGTTACATGACATTAGTTTGAACCCTACTTCCCTACCCCTGCTCTTCTCACTAACCTCACATACATCCATCTAATTTCAGGTTCGATCCTGTCAAGGACAGGATAAAAAACATGTATAGGTGACAGATGATTTTTTTTTTTCCCCCAGCATGTATTTTCATTTGGTTTGCACCGCTGATTTAAGGTTCCTATATAGCTTGCTTTCCCTCCACCCCTTATTCAGAATCTCCCTGTGCAACTTCTGGTAGTGCACATGGCCAGGATGTCCAACTGCTCCCATCTGCCCTCCCTGCCCAGACTCGTTCTTCTCTGAAGGTGGAGGGTGCTACACCAAGCCCCAAGGGATCCCTGCAGCCTCCCTTGCATTCAGGCTGTAAGGCACAGCAATTCCATTCCCACAAAGGATTTCTGCTCTGTTCATCTCACTTGCAGATTCATGTTATTCTGTTGAAGTCTTGGAGTAATTGATATGCTGGTTTAGGCATACTTCAAATCTTCACAAACAGTATGTTCACAATTCACCACCAGCAGCACAATTAACTATCTCAGAGTCCCACACTTACGGCAATCAGCACAACCTTTACAAGTGACTCACAGCGAAAGCTTACCTGGCTGTTTGGATCTCCAAGTAAGTTACATATATGTGGCACTATCTTACTCAGTGTTAAACTCTGAGCTCCAGATCTGGGAATAAAGAACAAAGCGAATAAAGGCACCACTGTGAGTAACAAAGCAGGCTTGTGTACATAGCATAGGTTTGCAGGAGGTTCAGACTTACGCATTGAGTGTTGCAATAAGGCAGAGGCAAATCCCTTCTCTTGTTCGGAAATTCTTGTGTTTGAATCCTCCTAGCATCCTGTCCCACACATACTGTGAAGACAGAAAAGAAGGTGAGACAGGAAAAAAGAAGGCAAGGACAGAGATATTTTTTTTTTTCTTCCAGCAAACATACACCATAACATCTCTGGAGCTTAAATATAAGACACTTTTAGATCTATTTCTTTGTTCTGTGCTGACTTCACAGAACTCCTCACTAGCTAAATCAATACCTTTACAGAAAGCAAGTACCTCCTGAAGACCCAAAACAATTGACATCCACCCATTCCATCTCATCCTTGGAAAATCCACTGACACTCAGAGTCCCATGTGCGTCCTGACATGCAACAGCATTCTCAAGTGAAGCAAATATCTCATAACAAGGCATAGGGAGATGAAGCCATTTCAGACAGAGCTATGGGAAAAAACTCTGACAGAAAAAAAGTTCTCTGGTTTAAACAGCCAGCCAGTCACGCTGCAGAGGGCTGCTGAGCATACCTGAGGGTTAGCAGCTTGTTCCATGATTTTCAGCAGCAAGGTCTGATCCTGCTCCCTCACCGAGTCCTTAGAGTCTCCCAGCCTATCAAGTAAACTTGGCAGCACTGAGCAAAGAAAACAGGAACATCCAAATCCCTCAGAAGAAAACTGTCACAGTGACACAGCCCCTCTGCTCACCCCCCGCCCGATGGAGGGAACAGCCTTTCCCACCCTTCAGCAGAGCCTGAAACCACCACGAGCCTCCCCAGTGCTCTCCTGGGGAGAAAGGCAGCTTTGTGTACAGCAGCCAGTGCAGACCCCAACAGAGCAATGGTGACGTGTGCACGTGTCCCCCCCCCTCACACGCAGACCCCTTCCCTTACCTGTGCCAATCTGGGCCTTGAAGCGATCTTGCAAGCGGGACACCAGCGCAGAAAGGATGTCAATCCCCAGGAGAACCACCTGCAAGCACAGGACAGACGGCGTTCCAGCGTGCAGCCCCCTGCCCCAGCCAGCCCCCAGGTAGGAGAAGGGCCCCGGCCCTCCCACGGGGTCAGCACCCCTCAGCTGACAGGGGCGTGCGAGTACGCACAACTCTTCCTTGCACGGCTTCCGACAGGCAAGCCGAGTGGTTTACAAACAGAAGAGCCCTCAAATAATTGCTCCCTGAGGCATTTATAAGCCAAAATTCACTACCAAGAACTTGACAAAGCCAATGACTGTAACTGCCACTCAGTGCTAAATCCATGCATACGGATGTGTAATGTATACATACCACATGCATAAATTTCAGTATTTGCTGTAACTAACATTTCTAATTAATTGTAATTACTACACTTATTATTAGAAAATGTTGTGCACTAACAGCTGTTTAATTATTCACTTGTAGAAATTAAACCAAGCACTTTTATGACATAACTGAAACCTGGGGAAAGGCGCTTTGCTTGAGAGAAGCTTCAGGATAGGTTGCAGATCAGAAAACCCACTGTGATTAACTCCGTTTAATAACTATAAAATATACATCACATACTGAATATACGGTGCAGCTTGTATGCTACGTACTCGGCAAGACAGTACAGATCGTGATAGTTCTGCTATGAGGCCGCTCTCCCTAAGTTTTTGGTGAAACACTGAGTTTAGTAACCCCTGGAAGCGTTAGGGACAGCCAGGCTGCTGAGGCGCAGCCCCCCGCTCCCCGCACAGTCATACGCCCCCACGCCCCCACACCGGGCCGCGGCTGCCGGCGGGGCGGCCGTGCTGGGCAGCGCCGCGGTCGGCCGGCAGGTGGCGCGCTCCATCGCCGCGGCCGGCCGTCCCCTTATGCAAATACCGGCCCGGCCGGCGCAGAGCACTCTGGGTAGCGCCGCCACAGCCGAGAAAACGGCTTAAACCGGGAGCCGGAGCCGAGACCAACGCCGGTCTCCGTGCCGCTCCCCGGCGGGGCGCGTCCCCCTCGCCGCGGGCCGCGGGCCCGGCGGCTCGGCGCCCCTCGCCGGGACCTGGGGCGCAGTTAGCTCTCCCCCGGCGGAGGCGCGCGGCGCTCGCCTCCAACCGTCCTTATCTGGGGGTTGCGCGGCTGCTCGATGAACGCGTGGTGAGGGCAGCACTGCTAACGCCTCGAGCAACACAGCGGCGCCCGCCTCGCGCGCGGCGCAATTTTTGGAACCTCGCGCACCGAGGCGCCTGCCCCGGTGCGTTCACACCCACGGCCACGCACCGCCGTCCCGCGCGGGGCGGCTGCGGGTTCTGCGGATCGGCCGGGGGCCTGCTGTATTCCCCCTTAACTCTTTCATCTTCAGCACTGCGAGCGAACTAGAAGCGCTCGTCACAGCAGCACACGCGTGACACTGGCAGCATCGTCGCTCCACCGGCGCGCCCACCCCGCCCACGGTAACCCAGGCTTTCCACCCTCAGCTCCTCACAGGGATTCACTCTGAATGCCGCGCCACGGGAGCTGTAAGCACACGGAGGAAACACCCACCCTGTCTCCAAAGTCTCCTAAAAAGAAACTTCCTAAACACAAGCACCTGGATCCTAACTTCTCCCAATACACCACTTCACCTTCTCCAAACAGCTCCTGCAGTTTTCTCCCATCACAGTAACAAATCCTTCAACCCTGTCATCTTTTTTTTTTTAAATTCAGTATCATTTGCAGCACGCCGACAAGATCTAGAATCTCTGTGTGCCAAAGGGTAATTTTCCTCATGCTTTTATAAGTCCTGTTTCATTTTCACATTCATCTTGCACGCTGGACTTAATCTACCACAGACAAACGCCCAGCAGCTCCAGAGCCAGCTGCCCTAAGCCCTACCCGTGTGTCTGCCGGCTCACTCGGGTACAGCAGCAGAGCCCCAGCAAGAGGACGGGCTTTCCATCCTCATCAGCCCAGAGATGCTTTTAAGGAAAGTCAGTGGGACTCCAGCTGCTGGTCATTCACAGCCAGCTGAGCAGAGCCCCATCACAGCAGCATCCTGCACCGAGGAGTAAGCGTGCTGCCTGCAATTACCGAGGTGTGCCCCGGGGGTAAATCTGATCCCGGAAGAGATCCATCTCTTCAAACTGCCTGCAAGCCAGAAAGAGCAAGAGAAACTCATCGCTCGGACATTAAAGGAAACACATGCACAGTGCAAACATCACCGGTTACCCTGAAGTTTGCCCCCCGGATCAATCAGACAGGGAGGATGAGTTAAGCCTCCCAAGACACTTTGCTGTTCTCCTCATAGAAACAGAGCTAATTACCACAATGATTACAGTAGTGGCTTGGACAACTACTGAGGAAACAGCCACTGGAGTGACCAGGTGTTATTCCCTGACATCCTGGCTTCATTTATCAACCCTGATGTGCCACTGGCTGCAAACTGCTGAAGGTCAGAAGTAGAAAACTGAAATCATGTATGGATTGAGAGACCCAACAGATCCATTAGAGACACTGATAACAGAAAACCCGGGCATGACTGGCAAATGAATGAAGAATTAATTGAATTCCAGCCCTTACTGCATTGGGCTGACTGCACTGAGGAGCCCCCACCCCAGTTTTCCACTGAAGCAGTTACTCAGGCTCTGCTGGCACCAACACACCTGGCTGACCGGGAGGAACGGCCGGAGCAGCGCGGGTCCTGCCAGCAGCCACCCCGTTCCTGCGACGTTGCCGCACACCCCTCCCTGGGGAAGCCAGCCGGCAGGCACTGCTCCACACCCAGGCACAGCAAGGGCAGCTCTCCATCAGAAATTCCAGACAACGCTGCAGTGCTGATAACTATGGAGCTATTCCAGGCCCTTACATCAGCACAAGTCTTGATTCATGCTCCAAGCAAGGTAGGACTAAACTCACCAGTATCTAGTAGCACAGAGGTCCCCAGCCCTCGACTGAGAAAATACCAGGTCAGCAACTGCTGCTTTTAGCCCCCTACTTTATATCTCGGGTCTCCCAAACCCACTGCAGAAATACACAGCAGCACAGCCCTGAGTCTGTGGCTCTGCTGCTTTGCTTATTTGACTCCTGAGGTTCCCCAAGACAGTCAGTAAAGCAATTTGTGCCATCCAGTATTCAGCTTAATTGACATCTGCTGCTGCTTTATAATGTAGTACTTTCTGAGGGTGCTATGGCCTGTCAGCAAGCCTTTCTCCTGACTCCCTCCAACTCCCAGGTCTCAAGGCACCATCATTACCAGGAAAGAAGGCTCTTTTCAGTTCCCAGGTTGCAACACAGCCTTTCTCAATACAGAAAATATCTATTTTTTTTTTTTTTTAGGAGGTCATCAAAAACTTCAAAGAACTCAAAGTATTTGTCCTGGGTGGTGTTGAAAGGCCTGCAGGCAGATCCACAAATCAGAAAGCAGACAGCCTACCATCATCTGCTCTAACAGTAAATGCTCACCAAGCATGGCAGACAAACGCATCCCGCACAGCTTAAACCAAGACACACCTAAATCACTCCCATAAAAGGGCAAGAAAGCAAGCTGCAGGCCCCAGCACCAGCTGATCCAGCACAAAGTGACCAGAGTGAATCACAGCCTCAGGCAGCCCCAGCCGCCTGCACTAACATGGCAGCTCCAGGCTGTCGTGAGGAAAAGAAGAGCCCTTCCCTCCACTCTCCACCCCATGCCACACGCAGCAGAGATGTGGTGACTGCTTCATCAACCTTTATCCCATGGCTCTTGCAGGGAACCAGCAATGGGCTGAGCAGCATCTCCCTGCAGGCTGGTTTCACTCTGCGGGCTTCCTCCTGGACCTTCCACGCTGGGCAGCTGGGGACCCAAATGGGAACGCTGGAGGTACAGTTTCTACCCCAGCTATGTCACCAGCTTGCTTCATGCTCAGTTTCTTCATCAACACGGTGGTGACACAGCTTGGCTATTTCACTTTGGAGTCTGTTTGTGAGGTTTTTCTTGGAAGAAGGAAGGGAGGTGGAAGACAAGACTTCTAAATCTCAATGTGCAAAAAAAAAAAAAGGAAAAATGTAAGAGAATTCAACCTGTTTTTTTAAACACTTGCTTAGATAATCTTTTGGATTCACAAACAAAGACACAGACAAGCACGTGCATACTTTAAGTAAAATTACTGTATTTGTGAAAAAGGAGAACATTTCAGATTACACATTGAGAAGCTCGAGACAAGCACGATGCCCTACATCACTGTCTGCCTGATGACTGGTACTAATCAGTCAGACAGGGAGAAGTTCTAATTCCTCAAGACATGAAATATCCACCACAACTGAACTGGGCACACAAGACCAAGCAAGAGCTAAATTTAGCTCACATTTGCAAATTTAGATTTGATGTGAGGTACGTATTTTGGGTCAGCACAGCAATAATAAAACTTCTGGCAGACAGAGAAACACAAAGTTAGCTTGTGAAATGCTGCCTGCTATATTCCACCCGCACACGAGTATAACCACATTCATCGCAGAGGAGCCCATCTCCTCCTGCTGTTCCAGCAGTTAACATCTCATGTTTCAAGGCAGGATCACATCTGCCCTGGCAACATGAGTGCATCACCCCAGCCCAACCATCCTAGTACAGACACAGCTCTTACACAATTTGCAAAACCAACACTGGCAAACAAAAAGGCAGCACAACTGGTTTTACTGTCATGACTATAAGCTGTGGTCAAAGGTCAACAGCGGAAGACTTGAAATAGTTATTCCTGGGTTCTTTCTCTAAATTCATGAGATATCATCCATTCTGTCACAGGTACCACCTTCAAAATCCACAAAATTTTGGATGCTGGGCCATTGATTTGCCATGCAATACAGCAATGCCTCAAGACAACGGCTGCTTGGTTTGGATATACAAGTTTTTCCATTGGAATGTGGACCACAATCTCTTGGAGTAGCTTCTTGTTGGAAAAGTGACCCTTTTATTTATCATCTACAGGCAGATTTCTAAATCTGTGAGATTTGGAAAATTTAACTAAGTAATGTGGGGATTTAAATTTCCAAAAAGAACCATCTTACAATGACT